TCCAATGGGAAGGCCCGCGCGCGCCGCAACGCCATCTGGAGGGCCCAGTTCGGCGCAGGATGGCGGGGAAGCGGGCGGTGTCGGTGAGCCCGGGCGTCCCCTTTGACGGTGCACTTTCCCCGCAGCTGGAGCCGAGGCGACGCATCGACGTTCTTTGGCGGCTGCGGCATCGTGCCTGACTGGGGCGAGCGCCACGAGTTGCTTGTGAAGACGGGGGAAGGAGACGCCGCGTACCGAATTCGCGCCTACGTCGAGTGGATCCTGCCTGCGGGAGTGGACGTGGCCCCATCCAGCGCCGCGATTCACCCCCGCGGCCACTACGCGACCCAGTTTGAGGAGGGCGGGGGCTGGTGCACTGCTGACGGCCTGGGCGACCAGCCGCGCGAATCGGATGTTCGCTGGAGGCTCGGAGGACAAGCGAGGGGGGGGCACGCAGCGTGGATTCCACAGGCAGAGAACGGCCATTGACGTGTACAAATGGCAGTGGGGCGAGCGTGCATGAGAAGACACGGTGAGCATCGGTCAGCTGTGAGCCGTCCTGTTAGAATTGTCAGAAACGTTTGCTCTCCCGGATCGGAATTCTGGGCGCCCGCCTTGAGTAGCGAACGAACCCTTGAGATGGGCGGCAAATTTTGAAGTTCTCGCCCATAGCCGCAGGGGCCAAGCATCGCGCAAGGACGCCTGCTTACTCCATTCCTTTTCATCATCATGACGTCGGCCCTCGTAACAGACGTCGACAACGACTTGCGGCGCAGAGGGGCCAGGCGTACTCCCAAGGTAGAAGTGCATGCTTCGATGGGGGATCGGTGTGCGACGACGTCAACTGGGTGCAGCGTTTTCTGGCTGCCTCGTCCGCAGAGCAAAAGCTGCAACAGATTACCCACTGTTTGGAACCGCCTTGGGGGACAAGACTGTGCACTTGCCAGTGAAGCGCTCTAGGGACGTGCTCACGACAAGGGGGTGCGCCCATCAACGTCGTGATATCAGAGTCGAGGACCTCCCAGTCGGCGGGTAAACTAGGACCCACCGCGATGGGAAGAGATTCGTCGCGTTCTCTCCCTCTTTCCTCTGCTCCTTCCCTTCGCAAGCCCTTCCCCTCCCCGCCCCATCTCCCCTACCTCAGCCTTTACTTCCCCACTGCGTTTGCTTCACGTTTCCCTTTTGAGCCCCTCCTTCCCCCTCTGCCCTCCCCCACCGCCCCTTCCCCCATAACCGTACTCAGTGTTCGCATCTCTGTGTGTACATATCACGGCGCACCGGGCCCGGGGGCCGAGGGCCGGAACCTCGACCGCAAATGTGGGCACCGGGGCCTGGGCCCGCCTCTGGGAGGTCTAAAATCGGCCCGGGGAGCCTTCAGACAGAAATCTCGGCGGCCCCAGACGGTCTCGAGACACCCTCAAGACGCTGTCCATGGGTCTCTGGCGACGCACGATGCGTTTTAAACTGCCCCGGGGTCCCCCCAAGACAAGATGCCCCAAGATGCCTTTAAGATGCCGCCCAACAGCGCCCCGAGAGGGCAAAATCGTTGATTTTCATAGGTTTGTTAATGTTTTTTTGCATTCTCGCTGTTTCGCATTTCTGGCAAACTGCTCCAAGACGGCCCAGGAGGCCCCCAAGACGGCCCAAGAGAGCCCCGAGACGGCCCCAGAGCCGCCCAAGACGGCGCAAGAGGGCCCCGAGAAGGCCCCAAGAGGGGCCCAAGAGAGGGAACACGAACTGAAAAATCAAGCTCTCCGCCCCAAGATGCCCCCAGGAGGCCCGAAGAGGCCCCCAGGAAGCTCCCAAGAGGCCCCAAGAGGCCCCCATGAGGCTCCGAGAGGCCCCCAAAAAGCCCCAATGAGGTTCCGAGAGAGCCCGGAGACGGCCCAAGAGCCGCCCAAGACCGCGCAAGAGGGCCCCAAGAAGGCCTCAAGAGGAGCCCAAGAGAGGGAACGCGAATTGAAAAATCAAGCTCTCCGCCCCAAGATGCCCCCAGGAGGCCCCAAGAGGCCCCCACGAAGCTCCCAAGAGGCCCCAAGAGGCCCCCATGAGGCTCCGGGAGGCCCCCAAGAAGCCCCCCCCTCCCCAAAAGAAAGGAGGCCCCAAGACGGCACACAAGGCTTCAAAACTCTTTCTAAGAGGCCCCCGAACACATGCCAAGAAGGTTCCATGACGACTTCAAGAAGCAGTCCAGGATGCTCCGAGGGGGGCCCCACGAGGCCCCCAAGAGAGCCCAAGAGGCCTCCAAGAGGCCCCAAGCAGCATCCAGGCGGCCGGAGAGAGGCCCCCAAGGGCCCAGCGGTCCAGGCAGGAGGCCCCTGGGGAGGCTTCCGGATTGCCTCAGTGTGGCCCCAGGCGCCCTCGAGTCGGGCCTCCACGCAGCCACGACGGCCAATGATGGCCTCAGATTGCAGGGCATCGCCTTCCGACTGCCCAGAGAACCCCGACGATGCTCCCAGGGGGCCCCAAGAAACTCCAAGACGCCCACCCAAGAAGCACCCAAGAGGTGCCTCCAACAGCAAGTTGAGGAAGCACGGAGATTCCCCCAGAAGCCCTTCATATGACCCCACGAAGACCCAAGAGGTCCCCAAGAGGCCCTCAGGAGGCACGACTATGTCACGCGCCTGTGCTTGATGGCGTTGTCCAAGATCTTCTAGCGCCCCCCCCTGCCTGGGCTAGCACGTGAGCGCGCGCCAAGCGCGCGCGATGGTATATTTGTGTGTAAACATATGTGCACATAAATAGATGTATACGTGACTGCCTATGTGTTTATACTTCTACTTTGCCACCTCGCCGACCGATAGGACCCCATCGGGTCCCGCCTATCCGATTTGTGGGAAAACAGTGCAAAGTCAACGCTTGCGCTTTTAGCGTGAATGTTTCGGCGTCGACACTGCAACATAATTGGCAGGGGCGGGGCGCGGCGCACATCCCGCGCGACAGGGCGACATGTTTCTCTGCCCCGGCGCCACGCCCTTTTTGTTTCGAGACTTGAGCTTCCGCTCGGGGGCGGCGTGTTGTTTTTCGTTCGCTTACGCGTCGACGCGCGAGCGGGCAAAACCGATCTCTCGTTTCGGCACCGCGGAGATTTCGCCCGAAAGCGGTGCTCCTGCCTGGGTCCGGCACGTAGCTTGCTTTCGCCAAGTCGTGGAGGTCTCGTTCGGAGGTGGCCTTCCCGCGCGTGCGCGAGATGTGTCGCTCTCCGAATCCCAGCGGGTCTGCGCGAGAACGGGCGAACTGGCGCTTTCGCTCAAGCGCCGCGCATCGTGTGTGTGTGTGTGTGTGTATGTGCGTGCGTGCGTGCGTGCGTGTGCGTGCGCGGCAATGCATGTGTGTGTGTGTGTGTGTGTGTGTGTGCGTGCGTGCGTGCGTGTGTGTGTGCGTGTGTGCGCGTGCGTGCGTGTGCGTGCGTGCGTGCGTGCGTGCGTGCGTGCATGCGTGTGTGCGCGTGCGTGCGTGCGTTCGTGCGTGCGTGCTTGCGTGCGTGCGTGCGTGCGTGTGTGTGTGTGTGTGTGTGTGTGAGTGCGTGTGTGTGTGCGTGTGCGCGCGCGTGTGCGTGCGTGTGCAAGTGCGTTGTGTGTGTGTGTGTGTGTGTGTATGTGGTGTGTGTGCGTGTGTGTGTGTCTGTGTGTGTGTGTGTGTGTGTGTGTGTGTGTGTGTGTGTGTGTGTGTGTGTGTGTGTGTGTGTGTGTGTGTGTGTGTGTGTGTGTGTGTGTGTGTGTGTGTGTGTGGGGGGGGGGGTCGCGCGTGTGCGTGCGTGTGTGTTTATATGTGCGCGTGTGTTTATGTGTTCGTGCGTTGGGAGAGAAAGTGGCAGTGCTGTTTCGGCGCGGCGTCTTCTTCGCCTTCAACGCGTTAATAGGGAATGTGGCCGCTCTGGAGAAGGCTCAACTGGTCTCTGGCCGCACCGCCGCGCAAAGATTTTGAGGTCCCGCCCCCGCTGATGCACGGCCCCCTTTTCCCTCGCCAAGCCGCCTGAAGTGGGACCGCGTACGAGCACCGTCCGCTCAGGAGGTGGAAACGCATTCCGGTTCCAGCACCAGCTTGTGCCACCACTGATTCGTACGTGGTGGAGAGCAGGGTGGGGGCTGGCAGGCCCCGCTGGTTTGTTCGACCTGAATTTGACTTCCCCTTCCATTTCAACTGCCCCTCCACGAGAGCTGGAGCACCCGAAGAAACTGCGCGCCTCGCGCCGCGCAGACGCGCTCTTCCTTCCTCCTCCTCCTCCTCCTCTTCCTCCTCCTCCTCCTCCTCCTCCCCCTCCTCCTCCTCCTACTCCTCCTCCCCCTCCTCCTCCTCCCCTCTTACCCCTCCTTCTCCCCTGCCCCCTCGCCCGCCACCCCCCCCGCCGTGACGGCCCGCGTCTTTCTGTCCAGCTCCCACCGGGCCAGCATCCGGGGCGCCTGCGCCGCCCCTTGCGCGGCTCCCGCCAGACAACCAGCGGCAGGCTGTGCGGCGAGAGCCGTGCCGTCGGCGCCAAGAGCGACGCGCGGTCCCGTGAGCATCTCGGCAGCACGGTGCCCGCTGAGATTGCCTATCGTCTCGTATGCTTCCCGTCCTCTTCCCTTCCCCCTCCCCCTCCTCCCAGCCTCCTTCCCATCCCGGATTCCTCCCTCCCCTTCATGTCCCCGCTTTCTCCCACCGTTCCACTTCACATCCCCATGTGCCCCTCCTTCGGAGGGTGGAGAAGCGACACCAACACCACCAGGGGGGCCACCTCCAGCGAGGAGGCCCACGATGCCTCCCAGAGCTGGAGGCTGGGGATGTCTCGAGCGAGAGGGGGGACCACACCACCAGGGAGACCTCCCTTTCTCCTCGCATCTCCTCGCCCTGGTGGTGTTGGTGTCGCCTTTCCTTGTCCCTACTCCTCCCCGCATCCTTCCCCCTTTTCTCACTCCCCATCGCCCCGACCTCCGCCTGCCCCCCCTTCCCTTCCTCTCCTCCACGGCCCATCTCCTGCACCCATGCCTCCCCCGCCCAATCCTCCCAAAGTTTCCCCGCCGTTTCCCCTGTTCCCCGAGGTCGTGGGATCCCCAGCACGGGCGCGTCTCCTGGCTGAGAACCTCGAGCCCGAGGATCCCGTTTGCCGCGTGCCTGCCCTGTCACGACAATGGTGAGAGTGGCGGAAGCACGCACAAGAGCTTTAATCAACTGCGAACACTGCTTAGGGAATAGATGCATGCATCAATATGTTTGTACATGCATCCGTGCACACGTACATATTTCCAGTCGTGTGTTTCAGATTTCCTCCGGGCAGACCTGCCATTATGGAACCCTACATACGTACACGCGTGTGCACTATACATACATATTTTGACATATCTACATGTGTATACTACGTAGTGTCTGGGAAAGCTGGATAGGCCGGATAAGCTGAAACAAAACACATTGCTTTTAAATTGTCAGTTTTTGGGTAAAGCTGGAAAAGCTGGAAACTAGTTGTTCAACGGTCTGTCTCTGGGAAAAGCTGGAAAACGCAGCGTTGTTCAAAGGGTGAGTCATTGGAAACTTGAGCCGGAGAAACTGCAGAGCACGCCGTTTTTCAATTGTCAGTCTCTTGGAGATGCCGGACAAAAGCTGGAAAGTCTGGACCGTTTTTCAACAGTCAGTCTCGGGGAAAAGCTGGAAAAGCTGGAAAACGCAATTGTTCTCAAAGGGAAGCTTTCTGAAAAAAAGCTGGAAAAGTGGGAAAAGTGGGGAAAGTGGGACACACATCGTTGTACAACGGTCAGTCTTTGGGAAAAGCTGGAAAACAAAGTGTTTTTCAAAGGGCCAGTCTCCTGGGAAAAATTTGGAAAGCCAGAAAAGCTGGAAAACATTCTGAGTTTTTCAACGGACAGGTTTTGGGAAAAGTTGGGAAAGCTGCCAAAGTTGGAAAACACAGCGTTTTTCAACGGTCAGTCTCTAGGAAGAGTTGGAAATGCTGGAAGACGGTCAGCGACATATATATATATATAGAGAGAGAGAGAGAGAGAGAGAGTGAGAGAGAGAGAGAGAGGAGCCTTCAACCCTCAATCTTCGAACGCCCTGCAGGATCCAAAGTGAAGCAATTCAATTGTAATCTGCTCATCCTGGGTCGCCCCCAGAAGGGGGAAGAGGACCAGAGGAGAAGATGAGGAGGAGAAGAGGGGAAGGAGGAGGAGGAGGAGGAGGAGGAGGAGGAGGAGGAGGAGGAGGAGGAGGAGGAGGAGGAGGAGATGAGGAGGAGGAGGAGAGGAGGAGGAGGAGGAGAAGATGAGAGATGAGGAGATGAGGAGGAGAGGAGGGGAAGGAGGAGGAGGAGGAGGAGGAGGAGGAGGAGGAGGAGGAGGCCTCCGCTGGCGAGTGCCCTCCTCCTAGCCCGCCCTCTCCCCCGACCCCTCCTCTCGCCTCCGCCCCCCCCTGCTCCTTGCCGCCCGCCCCCTCCGCTGGCGAGTGCCCTCCTCCTCGCCCGCCCTCCCCCCCAAAGCTCCTGCTGCCCGGCCCCTCCGGCCCTCGCCAGGCGCCGGGCGCCCCCCTCTTCTCGCTGGAGTCCGACCGCGGGTTCCTGACCATCACGGGCATGCTCGCCGGCACGAGGGTGAGCGTCGTGTCCATAGGCGTGCGCGCCCCGCGTGCCCCGCCCTGCGCGGCTGCCGGCCTTGGTCCACGCCTCCTGGGGTCCGAGCAGGCTGGGTCGGAGGGTCGCGCCGCATCGCCGACGCACCGGCGATGCGGCTGGATGTGGGGCCCGATTTTCTCCACGCCGACGACGCCGATGCATCGCCGATGCGTTGGCGATGTGGCGCGATCCTCCGACCCCGCCTACTCGGGTCCAGTTTCTGGGATGCCTTCATTGAGCCTCTCTCGGCCCGTGGCCCTCTTGAAGGAGGAGGAGGAGGAGGAGGAGGAGGAGGAGGAGGAGGAGGAGGAGGAGGAGGAGGAGGAGGAGGGGGAGGAGGAGTAGTAGTAGTAGTAGTAGGAGGAGGAGGAGGAGGAGGAGGGGGAGGAGGAGGGGGGGGGAGGGAGAGATGGAGGGAGGGGTACATTCGACCAGGAGGGGATACCAGTATCCAACCTCATACCCTTCCTCCCTCTCTCCTTCTCTTCTCCTCCTCCTCCTCCTCGCCTGCATACCACTACGAAATACGAGCCGTTGCTCTCGCCGCAATGCGGTGTTAGAGCGCTGGCAGTAGCTGGATCACCGTGGATTCAAGCTACGTGCGTTCCTCCTCCTCCTCCTCCTCCTCATATCTCCTCCTCCTCCTCCTCCTCCTTCTCCTCCTCCTAGCCCCTCTCGCTCGAGCATTTTGCCAGCATGAGGGAGGGGTGCTCAGTGCACACGCGCCGCACAGCTCTGTTGCCTCTGTGACGGCCTCGGCGTGGCCACTCGCAAGCAGCTGGCGCCGATGGTCGGCTCTGCGCTGAGAGCGATCGGGTATAATCCTGTGTGGGCGAGTGGGTCCAGACTGCAGGAGATTTTACACCACACAGAGGCGACGATGCAATGGTGCCATGTGGAACCCAAGCGTTCTGTCGCAGGGCGGAGGGAGTGCTTCGAAGTCGAGCGCGTGGACGTACGATCCTGGAGGCAGTTCATCAGCCCGGACAGCCCACGACTACGGCGACAGGGTGTTCCATCATATTACAAGTATGTTCTCGGACAAACATGTCAAGCAGACGTGGTCCCTCCTCGACAACTCGCGGGCCGAGGGCTGGCGGTCCGAGTGTGCAGAAGGGAGACATGCGGCGTGATATACTGCCCTCGTCAGCCCAGGACCCCCAAAGAAAATTGAGTTTATCATGAGACGGTCAAACAGCTGACAACATGGTGGGGATCTGTCCTTTCTCTTCTTCCATGTCGCACGGTGCGCCCCTCTTCTACGCTGACTTCGAGGACGGCATAGGCGCGCAGGTCAAAGTTGGAGTCTGGACGGGACCCGCGCGCACAAGGGAGCGGAGGCGTATCGGTGCTGGCGAATCCATTAGACATTTAGGTGTGGAACAAAAGATGGCATCGGGGATTTCGTACAGCACATGCGCGAACGCGTACAGGTCCTCCGATACACCGTCCACGGGTAGCATGATTGACCGTCGGCTTCAATCGAAAGGATGGATCGGGCGGTTGACAAGATGCCACATCGCGAAGGGTTTCGGCCACACTCTCCAGGCTGTACGTGGCATTCGCCTGCAAGATCTCATCCTGGTTCCGATTCAGCTCAAATCTGAGAAGGACGCTAGCGAGCTACCACCTGCCCCACCATTTCGGCTTCAAAGAGTCACTATGATGGCAGCTGAACTACGTGGCGAGGGCAAACATGAGTTTCTGAGGGACGTCGTTGAACAGTTGTCAGATAACGAAGATCAGTTCCGAAGACAGTCAACATACATATGGGGGACGTGACCGTATGTGACTCCCCCCACAGGGGCCGCGCATGAAATTACATCCCTCTGGGGCATGGTCCGTGTGAAGGGTGAGCCGAGATGGACGGAGGGATGCCATGCACATCTTGTCCCTGAATCCGAAAGTTGAGCTCACCGGGGGCACGTTCCGTGTGAGGGCCGTGCCGGGATTGGTGGGGGGACGCATTGTGGACACGACCTTCCTCTGTGGCCATATGTCTCGGAACCCTCACACGGATCGCTTTGTGAACCCGTCCTATGCGACCTTTTGGTTTCAAGTTCAAAACGATTTTGGGTCACTACTTCAGCGGAGCGGTGGCCGAATCGCACCACCCAGTGCATGTCAGTGGTGACCAGGAGGATGAAGGAGGAGGCAGGAAGAGAAGCAGGCTCGTCATAACCCATCATGCATTTACAAGTCTCTCCGCCCGATCCGCATCGGAAAGATGGAGAATGCAGGATACGGGGCAGACAGGGGCGCCAGGGTCCATTGAGGGCCTTCAGCCGCCCCGCGTAATATATATATATATATATACATATTCATACAAGACTGCATTAGCGCTTCGCGCCATGCACCTTGATCCTAGACGCTTTGCGTCTGGAGGTCGTTCGCGCCATCCCTAGTCGCCGCAAAAAGTCAACTGCTTTCCTGCGGTGGTTTTCAAAAGTCTTCGAAAGTTCGGGCTTTTCCTGGCCTGTCCCGGGCCCCGAAGTACCCCCGAAAGGCGCCGGGTGAAGGGGAGGAAGTTCGGGGAGCGAGGGAAGGAAGCGGATGCGAGAAAGGACGAGTGGTGGAGTGGCAGAAAGATGAGGAAGAGGAAAAGGAGGAGGAGGAGGAGGAGAAGGAGGAGGAAGAGGAGGAAGAGGAGGAAAAGGAGGAGGAGGAGGAGGAGGAGGAGGAGGAGGAGGGGGAGGACGAGGACCCAGAGGAGGAGCAGGGGGGGGGGGAAGGAGAAAGCGCTGTCGGGGGACGGCACAGGATTTCGCGTGCGCCGCGCCGAGGAGCGCTGCCCAAAAGCCGCCCGGCCCCGCGGGCGGCTGCTCCCTCGAAGCCGAAGGCCTAGCAGAGGGCGAGAGGCGGGGGCGGCGTCGGGGCCCAGGGCCCGCGGCGCCTCACGCGCCGCCGGCGGCCGGCGCGGCCGTCCGGGCCGTCTAGAGGCCAGAGGCCTTCTTTGGTGGCCGTCCAGGCCGTCCAGAGGCTCTCGTGGGAGTCTCTTGGGCCGCCTTTGGGGCGATACCAGAGGCCTTCGTGGCTGTTTTGGACGCTGCTAAAAGCCGAACAGCGAACATGCTGAGAATGTACGTCTCCCTCGGGGAAGGAAGCGATTTTGCGTCCTGGGAGTCCTGTTGAGGGCCGCCTGCGCCGTCTTGGGGGCCTCTGGAGGCCATCTGGGTCCTCCTTGGGGCGCTCTTGTGCTGTCTTGGGTCGCTCTTCGGTCTCTCTGATCACCGCTCTGATCGCTCGGGGTCTGCTGGCAAGACTCGGCTCAGCGCCCTGGGAGGCCCGGGCGAGCTGGGGGACCTTCGGCAACGGTGTCTGGGGGGCCAAGAAACCCCAGATCCTGTGGTCCGTTTTTTTGGGTGGGGGAGACGGGATTTCCCGCCCACCCCCCGGGGTTTGCAAAAACATAAGAGGATAATTATACACATACACACATACACACATACACACATATATATATATATATATATATATGTGTGTATAACTGTGTATATATATACAGTTATATAAGTATGCATATGCACGAGGCTGCATTGGCGATTCGCGCCATGCACCTTGGTCGTTGAAGTTTGGCATGCAGGCGGAAGTGCACAAAGGTCAACCAGACAAATGAGCGATCATTCAGGGTTGCCTTTGTCCGACATCGCAGTTAACATGACATGATTACTGAGTATCCTTCCATCATGATTTCTCTTCCTCATTCTCATTCTCACCCTGCCCTGCGAAGTATTCCCCATCCTCCTCAGCTCTTTTTCGAGAGGCTCTTTCTTGGAGGGCTAATTGGCGGTCCCACGAACATTTTCAATGGATTCTTGGGGCCTTCTGGAGGCCCTGGCATCGCTCGGACGTGTGCATTTTTTCTCGGCGAGGGCCATGGAGGAGCATATTGGGCCATTCTGCGAACAAAAACACGCACGAAACCGAGAAATGCACGGGGAATGGACGTCCGAGCGATGGCAGGAAGCTTCCTGGGCGCCTTCTGGGGGCATCTGGGGGCTTCCTCGGGCCACCCTGCTTCCAACCACGGTCTCCCTAAACGACCGGATATCACGATTTGGAATGCGTGGGGTGTCGCCTTGGGGCCATCTTGGGCCGTTATGGGGCCCTCTTCGGGCCATCGCGGAGCCCTGCTGTATCGTTTTGGGGCTCCCTTGGGCTGCCTGGCTCCCTTGGGGTGCCTTTTCGGACAGTCTTGGGGCGGTGTTCGGGCCCTCGGGCGGTCTCGGGACGCCCGGAAGACCGGCGCTCCGGGAAACCTGGGGGGGAGAGGGTCCCACCCCCCAGCTCCTCCCCCTCGTCACTTCTCGTACTCTCCCTGCCTTTCCTCCTCCTCTTCCTCCTCTTGTCTCCTAGAGATGGGGTCGGACGATCGCGCCACATAGCCCGTGCACCGGCGATGCGGCTCGATTTGGAGGGAGCTTGGGGTCGTCGTCGGAGCATCATGGAGCATCTCAGGCCGTCAGGATGCCGGCTTGGGCCGTCGGGGGCCGTCTTGGAGGCCTACTCTGCCGTTTGGGGGCGATTCTGCTTGTTGCGCCGTGAACGAGGGTAGCCTCTCCAGACCTTCTTGGTGGTCCTTTTTGGGTTTTTTTTGGGCCGTCTTGGGGCCCTCTTTGGCCGTCCTCCTCTTGGACCGTCTGGGAGGGCGAGAGCCTTCGGGAAACTGTCATGGGGCCCTCTTGGAAGTCTCCCGTAGCTCCCTTGGGCTTCTTTTGGGGGCCTTTGGGGAGCTTCTTGGGCCTCATTCGGGCCGTCTGGGGGCTCTCTTGGGCAGTCTTGGAGCCCTTTGGGGCCGTCTCGGGGCGTTCTTGAGGGCCTCTTTGTGCCATCTTGGGGCGACCTCGGGGGCTTATGGACGGTCTTGGACGCTGCTGTGACGATCGAAGCGCTTTTGCCCAGAACGCACGTTTTCCTAATGGAAATGGGGGCGTCTTGGGGGCCTCTTGGAGGAGGAGGAGGAGGAGGAGGAGGAGGAGGAGGAGGAGGAGGCCATCTGCATCCCTCTCGGAACGCTCCTGGGACGTCTCGGGGCCGTGTTTTGGACCGTTTGGGAGGCTTCGGGGCACCGCCGGAGGCCCGCCTGCGCGGTTCGGCGGGGGCCCTCGGAGGCCCGAGAAGTCCGGACGACCCTGCCAAGGGGCGTCCGGAAGGCCCCTCTGGCCAGGGATCGCGGGGGGGTCCGTTTCGCAGAGGGGGGGGTCGCAGGATTCCGCGTACCAAGAAAGAGATCAAGGGGAATGTATCAATGCTGGGGCACCAGGGACCCAGGGCCCAGGCTGGGACGCCTTCGATCATCCTTCTTTTGGGCCCACGACATCTATGACTGCCCAGGGCTTCCCAGCCCTACCCCCTCTCCGCGCAAATAGCTTTGGAGGCTACCAAAAAGCGACCAGAGCGGGCTGACAGGGTTGAAGACGCCCGAATAAGTCGGCCCAAGAAGCCCCGAAAGGTTCCAAGATGCGCCCCGAGAGGACCTCAGGAGGCCCGAATTGTTCGATAAACAACACATTGGTTCGGCGACGGTCCCATCCCTATGCAGACATGTGCAGGGCGCGGGTCTCTCTTCGAACACTGCTCGCCGCGGGGCAATGCGGAAAGATGGCTGCTGCGGAGAACGAGTGAACTTGTGGGGCACGATGCGCGTGAAGGGTGCGTCGAATGATTCGGATACCCCCGTGCGAATACGACCAACCAGGCCGCAAGTGGTTCTCCTCCAGGCACGACGCGTGCGAGGCATGTTCCGAGATGGGCGGGGGGACGCCATGCGAAGCTGCCCATTGGTGCCATAGGTGGAATTCCTTCTGTGGGGCTTGATTCGCATGACGGGTGTGCCGACATAGGCGGCGAACCTTGTCTCTGGGCCTTTAGGTGGTGCTCCTTGTGGGTACGATCAGCGCGATGGGGTGCGCCGAATGGCCAGGAAGGGGGCGCAGTGCGAACTGTGCCTCTGGGGCCGTAGGTGGAGATCCCTGTGGGTCACGATCCGTGTGAGAGGTATGACGAAGTAGGCGCGGGGGTGGCGGGATGCGAACCTTGTCTCTGGAGCCATCCGTGGAACTCTTTGTGGGCCACGATCCGTGTGAGAGGTTGTCGAAGTGAGCTGGGCGACGGTGTGAAGCTTCTTTCTGGTGCCACGAATGCAGATGCTTGCGGGGCACGATTCGGGGGATGGGACGCGTCATTATACGAACCTTGTCTCTGGGGACGTAGGAGGGGTTCCCTGTGGGGCGCGATCCCTGTGAGGGGTGTGCCGGCATGGGCGGGGGGGCGCTAGGCCAAGCCTGTCTTTGGGGCTGCAGGTGGAGCTTCCCGAGGGGCACGATGGGGCGAGGGACGGGCTCCCCTTCAGCACCCCTCCCTCTCCTCTGGTCCCCCTGCTCCTTCTTTGGGCCCCCCTCTCAAGCCCCTCGCCCCCGGCGGCCTCTCCCCACCCCCTCGTCCGGCCTCCCCGTCTCCCTCTCGGCCTCCCCCCGCCCATCCTCCGCCCCTCCGACCGCTCCTCGGGCCACTTCCCATGACATGCGCCGATGGGATGTGTCCGCGGCCCCAGAGTTCCCCACCGCCTCGGGACCGGTGGTGTTTCCTCCGGGCTTTTGTTTCATGGTCCCAGGGGCCAGCGAGGGCGCCTGGAGACCGAAGAAGACTGAACGTGTGTTGCCATTTTTTTGACCTCGAGAGGTGGTGGGGGTCTCCTGGCCAGCCTCTCCCCTCGGCCACCCTCCCGTCCAGCCTCCCCGCGTGGCCCCTCCCGTGGGCCAGAGCTCGGGGGCGGCCAAAAGAGGAGGGGGGATGCCAAGGGGGGATGGACCTCATGGCCGTGGCCATGAACTCTCCCTGGAGAACTTGGCCCTTGTTCCCCTTCTCTCCATGCGTCACCCAGACCCCCCCCCGTCCGCGCCCATGCTTCGGACCATGATTTGCGAGCCCCCTCCTTGGACTCCCCCCTCTTGGACGCCCACGAGAGGCATGGGCCTCCCCATGATGGACTTCTTCGTCCGCGAGGGCCGCGCCGTGACGCGGGGCCCCCTGGTCGTGGCGCGCTTCGGGACCTGCGGCGTGCTCCGGGAGCCCGGGCCGCTGACGGGGCCAGCTGCGAGAGACCCCGCCTCCTTTCGGAGGAGGCGATAGGGGCGAATGGCCCAGGGGCGGGCATGACACGTATTCGCCAGGGAACCTCGCCGAAGGCATGAGCCATCGGTGCCCCTGGATACATGGGTTGCTCCCCCCTGGGCTGTTCGCCCCCATCATCGCCCCCGATTCCTTCGTCGCGAGAGAATCACGACTGGAGGTTTTTGGCAGTTTCGGCCTCCGGGGCTCCCCGCTGGGCACCAAGAGGCCTTCAACAAAACCACCCAGGATGAGAGACCAGTCCCGGGGAATGGGTCCAGAGCCCTCCTCCTCATCGCCATCTCTGGGAAGATGCACTGCCTGGCCCTCCAGAGAGTGAGAGGCGGGAGAGAGAGGGGGAAGGGGGGGAGGAACGAGGAGATGGGGCACCCTTCACACGTTGCGCGACCCCATAGGAGGCTCCACCGAAGGTCCCAGTGGGAGGCATGCCACCGCCGCGCCCATTTCGGCACGCCCCTCACACGTTTCGTGGCCCCATCGGGTGCTCCACCGAAGGCCCCAGCAGGAGGGGCCGCATGCCACCGCTACCCATGTCGGCACACCTCTTACACGCTTCGTGACCCCATAGGGGGCTCCACCGAAGGCGGTAGTTGAAGTTGCATCTGGTTGGTCCTGCGCTAGGCTGATTGATTATGGCTCTTCCAGTGCACCCAGGAGTAATATGTAGCTGCCTGCGGCCAACCCAGCCACCGTGCGTGTGCAACAGCACAGCAGGAGGGAGACTGAGTGTATGAACAGCGCAGTTTGTCCGCGCGGTGGTGGGGAGGTCGAGTCACGCCCCGCTACAGTTCAGCGAGCTGTCTAAAATGAGGTGGGTCATGAAGTCGACTTCATCTTCATGCGCGCGGTAGGGGGGAGGAGGAGAAGGAGGAGGAGAAGAAAATGAAGGCCAGGAAGAGAAGGCCTCTGAGGGGCTCTCTTGGGGTCTCCTGGAAGCCTCACGGGGGCCTCTTGGGGGCCTTTTGAGACCTCTTGGGGCCTCTTGGGCCGTCTCAAGGCAGCTCTTGGCCCATCTGACACCTTCGGATGCCGTCTTGAGGGCCTCTATGGGCCGTCCTGGTGCATTTTCGGAGCGTTTTAGGGCCGTCGTAGGGCCTTTTCGGGAGCCTCTTGGGCCGACTTACGGCCCTCTTGGAGGCCTCATGGGCCGCCTTGGAGTTATATTGGAGGCCTTTTGGACCGTCTGGGGCGAGCGGAAACACAAACAGGCGAGAACCTCAAAATCCATGGGCAGCCCATGGGACAGCCATGTTTTTCGCCTCCTCGGGCTCTCCGGGTGGACTTCTTGGAGCCCCCTTCGGCCGTCTTGGCAGCTACTCGGGCCGTCTTGAAGCCGTCCAGGGGACTCTTGGGCCATCTGACGTCTGGGGTCGTCTTGGTGCCACTGTCTAAGCTCATCGCCAGCCTCCAAGTTTGAAGGCTGAATTGCGTTGTGGAGGACCATCAATGAAGAGGAAGCATGTTGCCAAATAACTTCCAGATGTCACAAACATGTGTCAACCATGTTTAAAACATGTAAAACATGTTTAAAGCATGTTTTGAGCATGCTTCCGACATTTTGCACACATTCTGAATTCAATGATAGGACTGCTAGGGTGCCCATTGTCGTGGCATCCACAAGAACTGCGGCCCGCTTCAACAATGGAGGCGGAGGAGGACGACGGCCTCCCCTGCACCTCCCGGCCTCCGCGGCGCACTGCCGCCGCGGGGCGGGCGATCGCCCAGGAGTCGGTGGCGGTGGGCTCGGTCAGCGTCGCGAAGGAGCGCCGCCCTTCCTCCCGGGCTCCGCTCCTCCTGCGCCTGCTCGAGGCTCGGGGGCGGCAAAGAGGGGGGTGATGACTGGGGGGAGTGGATATCATGGCGGGGGCCATGATATTTCCCCACATTTCATGGCGCCTCTTCTTATTTCATTACGTCCCTGGTCCCCCCGCTGGGCCGCGCACATGCCGCCGGTCATGATTTGGCCCCCCCCCTCTTGGACACCCCCCTATTGGCCGCTCCCGAGAGGAGGACGGGTACGGTGGAGACCTATGCCAAGGAGCACCCTGCTTGCCTCCAGGGTGCCCTGGGTTTCTTGGGTTTCGATGGTTCTGCTGTGGACAGCACGACGTTCCCACCAAAGATCAGTGGACGTCCTGGGGTCTCAGGGTTGGGTTTTTTGAGAAGGTTTCTTGTGGTCGGGCCCCCACTGAGCAGGCAAATCTTTGAAGTACAGTCAACCCGCGTAGGAAGGATTGGCAACCTTCCCAAGGGTCCCCTTGCATCATTGCCCCCTCTTCTTGGAGCCTTTCGCTGGCCAGCCTCGTTCGGAGAAGATTCACATGGCCCTTCAAGGCCCTTGCCCCCTCGGCCCATCCTTGGCGCCTTTCGCTAGCCAGTCTCGTTCGAAGAACGTTCACATGGCACATGGCCCTCCAAGGCCCTTGCATCCTTACCGCGCATCCTTATTCTACGGGTTGACCTGTAAGGACCACATTCGGCTGAGGAGGGGCTACGGTCTCCAGGTCGGTCTTTTAGATCTGGGCCAGGGAACCTCTTCGTGGCGGAGGCTTGCCGTGACCTGAAAAAGCCCTTCTGCCCTTCACTGATGATGATGATGATGATGATGATGATGATGATGATGATGATGATGATGATGATGATGATGATGATGATGATGGTGATGGTGGTGGTGGTGGTGATGATTCAGATGATGATGATTCAGATGATGGTGATGATGATGATGATGATGATAATGATGATGATAATGATGATGATAATGATGATGATGATGATGATGATGATGATAATGATGATGATGGTTATGATGATGCTGATGATGATGATGATGATGATGATGATGATGATGATGATGATGATCATCATCATCATCCTCATTACACCAGAGAAAAACCCAATCAGTGGATGGTTTGATGAGATCGATGGTGAGACCGATTGATAGAGATGATTAGGGAGGTCGATCATGAGATCGATAATGCATCGTTGGATCGATAAATAGATCGATAAGGAGATCGACCGGGACCCCGGGAACCCGGGAACCCGGATCCCACCGAAATCGTCCCAGAATCAATAATCAGAAATCCGGGAACCTGGAACCAGGAACCCTGCAACCCAGCCGGCAACCAAAATCGGCCGGAATTGTTCGCCTAATCTTCCAATTTCCGCTAGGACCCCTTCCGTGCAAGCACAGATTGGGGAATCATCATCATCAGCATCATCATCAACATCATCATCATCATCATCATCATCATCATCATCATCATCATCATCATTATCATCAGCATCAGCATCAGCATCAGCATCATCATCACCAGCATCAGCATCAGCATCAGCAGCATCATCATCATCAGCATCATCAGCATCATCATCAGCATCATCAGCATCATCAACAGCATCATCAGCATCATAATTACCATCATAATCATCATCATAAAAAATTAGCATCATTAGCATCATAATCGCGATGCATCGCCGATTCGTCGCGATCCTCCGATCCCATCTACTCCGACCCCATCTAGGAGACCTCTAATCTTCGAGGGTCGAGGGCATTTTTGTGTGGGTGGAGGGGTCGGTCCTCTCCCTCTCTCCTCGTGCACCGGCTGCGGCTCTTCCCGTTCCGTCTCGCTCGCCTTCCGCCGTCCATCGTGCCCCGTCCCCGTCCTGCCCTGGGGCTCCAGATCCGCAGCCGCAGCCTGCACACCGCACGCTTCATCTCCGATGCTGTAGGAGACGTCGTATCCTGCTTCGTAGGTTAAGCGTTGAGCACGTCCAACCACAGGGATCTCAATCTCCAGAAGCACTGGAGGAGGAGGAGCAGGAGGAGGAGGATACACATGAGGAGGAGATAGATACAATTGGCGACTCACCCGATCAACTAGCATCATTGGCAAGCACTGCCTCATCGTCAGCCAAAGTGTCTGTGCGTCGACTCGGCATCGCGCCACCTTCGACTCGGCATCACGTCACCCTATGTGTTGTACCGTTCACGGCAACCCTCAATGAGACATTTCTTACATGGAGCCTTCTGCCTTGCACTGTTTGCGAACAGCCCTCAATGTTGTACCTTTTATGTGCGACCGCAGCAAGGCACAGCGCAGCGCAGCGCGGCCCCTGGCGTGGTATCATCACCATCGATATCTTCAGCACTGCCACTGCTCAGTCCCATCCTCCAGCATCCTGTGGAAGAGGAGGCTTGCACAAGGGTCGGCCGATCTTGGATCTGCTCCCCAGTTCCCTATCATAAAATCGATTCGGGCCCAATAAGCCAACATCTAGCGTTGCGGGGGGGACCTGGTTGACACCCATAAGCAGGCGACTGCCCATGCGTTGCCGCCTGTTGCCAGGACGCATGGGCGGAGCCTCATCCCGGTGCTTCTCCCTTCGTTTGCGTCGGCTGCAAGGCCATTTCCACGCTCGGCTCCCTGGCTCTCATCAGTCGCCTGCGTGGCCATTATTTTGGTAATTGTATGGGTCGCTGGAAAGACATGATTTAATCATCCAACACTTGACGGGGTTTCCCTTGATTGTTACCCGGAGGAATACTTTTATCTCGCCTGTTCCACTTGGGGCGCCCATAGTCAGGCGCCTGTTCATGCGTTGCATTCTCTGTGTAGCTCTGCCTTGTCTTTGGCCGAGCCCCATCTAATGTTTAGAGTGGGCCTGGCGTGGACCAAGATCGACATGCACATGTCTTGCGAGCTCCCGTTGCTACTGACACGTCGTACCTTCTCGCAGCAGAAAGTACAGGTTGAGAGGAGGGAGGGAGGGAGGGAGGGAGGGAGGGAGGGAGGGAGGGAAGGAGAATGACAAGTTGAGAGTTGGTGGCAACAGCTACATCAGCAGAGCCCTTTTGGATCTCCGCGCGGCCTTCTTGGATCGCCGCGCGCGGAGCGCGCCACGTGGTGGCCCGGCGCCGACCCAAGAAGTCCGCGTAGACCTCCGACTGCTGGTGGCTATGTACGCGGTTCTGTCTTCTCTGACATGCCAAATCGCAGGATCACGCAATTCACGGACATGCAATTTGAGAGTTAAGGTGCCCAAGCTTACGTCTCAAGGCACCCACCATCCGATGCGATGCGATTCGACTCGCAGACTGGGGCAACAGTGCCGATTTGATGCGATTCGGTTCGATTCACTGGCAACGGCCGGCGCGGGCCGCAGCCGGGCGCAGCCGTTTCCAGTTTCGGTTCGCTTCGGGGTGACTCGCTGGCGAGTCGACCCGTTTCCGAGCCGATCCGACTTCGCGATTCGATTCAGCTCAGGCCTGCCCTTCCTCCGTCTGTGTAGCCAATGGGGGCCCCAGGCTCCGGATCACCAAGGGGGTCTCGGGCCAGACGCCCCAGCCGCCCCACCAGCGCGTCTGGCGACGTACGTGGCGAGGATGGTTCTTCCTGCGCAGGGCTCAGGCCCAGGGTTCCGAGGCGCCCACAGGAGGCCCCCCAAGAGCACCTTCCTGGGGCCGTCTTGGGCGCTTGAACATTTGGTCTCAAGTGGTGCTTTTGTTTCCAAGCCGACGTGGCTTCCTTTTTGCTACGGTGCCTGCCAGCGGTGAGCTGGGGGATTCGCAGTCCGCCTACGTTCCTTCCCATCACCCTCCTCCACTTACGCTGCCCTGGGCCGTTCTTCGAGCCATCTGCCTTAAGCCATGTGGGCCTCTTCGAGGCCAACTTCAGAGCCTTTCTGGGCATCCAGGGTGCTTGAAAAGACCAGTGCCGGTTGCCTTAGAGCCGTGGCGATGATATTTGTTTGATACGTTGGTGCCGTTTTTTAAGACCCGAAAGTCTTGTGATGACGGCTCCTGCGATTACCATATTATTATTTCTCTCGCACCTCTGCATACGTTCATCCTCCTCCTGATCTCCCTCCTGGCTCCTCTCAGACTTTTCGAGCCAATATTCGGCGACCCCCAAGAAGCATTTACAAACCCGAATACGCCCCTACAGTAGCCTCAACGCGACACCACGAGCCTCCCAAAAATAACCCAGGGACCCTCCGTAGGAATACCCAGCCCCAAGGACCCAGGGCCTCGGGAGCGTGCCGAAGAACTCCAAGATGGCCCTGAGTGCCACATAGCCCAAGCGCCCCAAAGTAGCTTGATGTATCGCCAAGACCGACCACGGGGCCCCTCGGACAATGCGACCGGGCCCCAACTGGATTCCGCAGAGAGGCTCTAGAGAGCACAATTCATGTGTCTTTTTCTCAGTTTTTGAAGTGTCTCCGCAAGCGTGAAGAAAGGGGACAGGGTTCAGAAACAACCCATCGTTTTCCAATCGTTCCCGTTGGTTTGTGAAGCTTTCAAGGCTAGCAAGGCCCATGCGACAGAGCACACAATTGGGAAGGAGGTCAGCGATTGCAAGCACAGAAAAACATGATATTACGGAGGAGTAGCGGCGTTGGAGGAGAAGGAATGTACGTCAGAACAGCGCGATGACAAACGAGGTCAAACACGACGAGCAGCAGGCACAAGAAGATATGATTGAAGGATTACCTACAGCATACTCTATCGTGGTGTGAGTCGCCCGATAACCTGGCTAGAACCTGGTCGCGCGCGCGTCGCGCTCTCTCTCTCTCTCTCTCTCTTTCTCTTTATATCCTTGTCTCTCTCTCTCTCTCTACCTACATCTCTCTCTCTCTACTTTTTGAAATCAGTGAAAATCAGCCTTTCTAATTACTCACCCTGGTCGAGTTGGGCCCTGGAAGGTAATCAGTAGCTACGGCGTTTCTGAAAGGGGCAACAATCGGTCGCAGCGCCATGCGAGGCAACCACCACGCCATATGACATATATGAATCGGGACCTTTTCGCAGCGCATCAAGAGAATGCACATGATCAGTCGCAGGAGTGATGCGGAGGAGGAAGAGGGAGTCCCGTATGTCAGCCGGACAACCCCCTGTGCGGAGGAGGGGTCGATCTGCGTGCAGCGCAATTACGCCGCCTTCGCAGACAGCGGCGACACTGAGAACACGAAGCACGCTTCCTACCACATCTCGGACACGCCTCCGGGCCTGAGCCCATGGGGTCTTTGTCATCGTCTTCATGCCGTATCCTGTCAGGGTGTCTGCCGTGCATGCCCCCCCCCCCCCTGGATAGGTGTTCAATATGTTTCAGTATGCTTATGAAATGCGTGGAGAACGACGTTAGCCAGCGTGGACCCCAAACAGTGTGTTCTAATAATACATGTTGTGCAAGCTGTGTGGGGTAATCTAAGTGGTGCGCTATAAGTGGAGCAAAATGTGTTGCTTTGCAGAGTACGTTGTGCAGTTCATGTTGTGCAACATGTTTGGTGCAATCGATGTGGTGCAATCTAAGCAACGCGAAGCAACGCAACGCAAAACCATGCAAAACAATGCAACACAAGACAAACCAACGCAGGGCAGTTCAAAACAACGCATATCGATACAAGCCAATGCAAAACAGCACAACTCAATGCCGTACAAAGCGCCGCAAAGCAACGCAAAGCAAGGCAAAGGAACACAATGCAAATCAATGCAGAACATCGCAAGGCATCGCAAATCAATCAAGGTAAATCAACGCACAGCTGTGCAACGCAATACATAGCAAAACATAGCAACGCAAAGGACAGTAGTATATCTACAGATGGCTCTATCCCTGAGCCGTGGCCCCCTGCGGGTGGGGGGGGGTGACGACCCACGCGGTTGTTGTGTTCGCGGCGGTTCAGGCGGCCTAGGTGCAATGGCATGGGCCTGGCGAGGCGTGGTGCCGCTGGGCCCAGCCTTGCCATGGGAGATGGGCTCCGGCGGCAGCCTGTAGAGGAGGAGGAGGAGGAGGAGGAGGAGGAGGAGGAGGAGGAGAGGAGGAGGAGGAGGAGGAGAGGAGGGGGAGGGGGGAGGAGGAGGAGGGGGGCCAGTAGGAGGAGGAGGTGGTGGAGGACGAGCAGGAGGAGGAGGAGGAGGAGGAGGAGGAGGAGGAGGAGGAGGCCCAGGCTCACTGGCTGCGCTCCGCACGCGGGCCGCCCCGGTGCTGGCCTGCGCGGCGGGGGCGCCGCGGCCGGAGGCGTCGGAGGGCCCACGGGGAGGCGGCGGGGCTTCCGCAGCGCCGCGCACTGCGAGCGCGGCCGGGCACGCGGCCAGAGGCGGCGGGCGCAGAAGATCGCCGGGGCGCCCTGGCCCGGTGGGTTTCGGGGCTCAAGAGGCGGGGGTCGATGCAAACCGGGGTCAGCCAGGGCACTGGATCCTGCAGGATCCTGCGAAGACCCCCTCTGGCTGACCCGGGTTAGCGAGCCGCTCGTGGCCGCGAGGCGGCGGGCGCAGAAGATCGCCGGGGCGCCCTGGCGCGGTGGGTTCGGATCCTGGAGGTCATTCCGCATGGCCGACGCCCTCCATTCGTCGTCGAGGGGCCTGTCAAGGTTGTGGAGGAGGATCGGTGGAGAGGAAGCATGTTGCCAAATAATTTCCAGATGTCTAGAAAATGTGTTAAAACGGTTTTAAACTGGTAAAAAACATGCTTTTTACATTTCCAAGACATGTTCCCTACATTTTAAACATGTTTCATTCGATGATAGGACTGTTAGGGTGTCCATCGTCGTGGCATCCACAACGTCCAGGAGACGCGTGAACCCAAAACCACAGGTACGATCAAGGCTCGGGAGGGGGTCGGTTGTGTTGTGCATCGGCTGGGCCAACTCCAGAGGCCTCGCGCCCGCCCCCATCGACGAGGAGGTAGTCTACGAGTACTTGCGGCACGCATCCGGCGTCGCGCCGACGAGGGGCACGCGGTTCCTGGAGGCATTGGGCCTCCTGGGCTTCTTGTTCGACGTGGATACAGAGATCGCCTTCACGCCCCGCGCCCAGAGCATTGCGTCTGGCGGAAGCGGACAAGGGTCCAGATGGCGCCGTTCGAGGTGGACGCCGTCATCCAGATGGAGACGGTCGTGGCCGAAAACGGTGGTGGCAGCATCACGCAGGCCGAAGCCATACTCTTGGGCTTCATTCTCTGGCTGGCCCATTCGAGGGTGAGGTTCGGCGACGGCGTGAGGGTGCAGCAGGAACCCGTCCTCGATACGGTCGGGCAGCGCGGCTTCGTAGAGGCAGCGGCCGCGTACGAGGAACACAAAGTGGACCACGCGCCTCAGCAAGCAGGCCGGCTGCTGCAAGTGGTCGCGTGCGCCGTTGGAGTCTCAGGAGCCGCGTGGGCAGAGGCATGGTTGTCGTTAATTACGGTCCGAGTGCGGCCAATGCGCCAGCACCGACGGCTGCCTCATGGTGGAGATCTTCGCCGACGGGATTCCTGGCCAGCGCCGCGCGTCTACCGTGTCAATTGCGGTGTTTTTGAGTGCCCTTGTGAGCAAAAATCGCGCCACGTGCTTGCACTTTGGGCTGCACCAGCACGAGCGGGGCCGCTCGCTGTGGGTGACATCCACTAGGGTGGGGGCCAGCGTGACCGTACGGTTGGGGAGTTCCGTTGGTCACCCGATTAGTTAGCTGCTGGTGGAAAGTTGCCAATGGCGTCGGCACGCTCAGGGTCAAGGGCTTCGCGAGCTACGACACGTTCGACTTCGAGGCGGTATACCACCCGCAGATGGCAGACAGTAACTTGCTCACCACCCAGCTGCTGGAGCCCGTCGCCAGCCAGCAGGACGAGCTGATTCCGAAACTCCGGATGCTCTGGCGGGAGGCGTGGGGCATCGCAATTGCCGACATGAAGCGGGTAGCCGAGACGAAAGAGTGCGTTTCCGCATGGAAATTGATTGCGATCGAGCTTTCGGAGGCGCGAGAGCGCGCAGGCGAAGAAGACCGGGCTAACGCTCTGAGACGAGCTGGGCGTGAGCGACGCGCTCATTACGGTGGCGGATCGCGCGCGCGACGCCTGCCGCGCGGCGCGCGCCCCGTGGGAGCTGCGCACGACGAGGTCGATGGAGGATGCCGGCGCGGCGAAAGACGAGCGGTTCGAGAAGGACAAGAACGGATTCGCGAAGGCGGCTAACGTGCAGCAGGAGAGGGGCGCCGACGTATTCATTGGGCTGCACGTCGACTTCGCGCTCAAGCGGCGCGGCCTCGCGCCTCGCCCTCGAGGCGGCCGACGCGATGAGTTGGGAAGCTCGCGAGAAGGTCCGCCAGGACCTCGCGGCGGCCTTCTTGCGCCCGCCGCCGCCTGGGTGCTCTCATGCGGCCGCCGCGCAGCTGGGGAGAGCGGAAGCAGCCTTTCTTTCCATTGCAGGAAAACGCCAAAAAGTCACCGCGAAGAAGGGCGCGCGCCAAGCCGCTGGGCGCCTTGGCGGGCGTGGCCCTGGTTTACGGGGACTACATCATGGTCCCGTCGTTTAGCAGGTTCAGGGGGGAGCTCGCAGTGCCCGCGGGCGCGGTTGCTGCGCTGCCCCAGCGAGACATCGGCCGAGGGGCGGAAGGCGGCCGAGGCGGCTGCCAGCGGGCCGCATCAGCAGCGGCACAGCGGGCCGAACGACAAGGGCAAGGGGCGCGGGATCCCGCGCCCCCTCCCCTTCGAAGGGGAAGGACGTCGGCAAGAACAACGAGAAGGCGAAGCCAGCCTTGCCGATCGGATCCCGCCTCCCAGTCGTGTCCGCCGCGGGCGCCAACGGCGCGCCGAGGTGCTTCGAGTTCAATTTGACGGGGCAGTGCAAGAGGTGGGGCGGGCCCCGGAGGGCGGCGCCCGAAAGGCCCGCGCGGGCGCGCGCGCTCCAGTCGCGCGGCAGGGCCGCGCATGCGTGCGCCAAGACGGAGTGACAAACCCTAGCGCGGGGCTCGAGGCGCCTGCCGGCACCCGCTGCGAGGGGGGCCTCGATGCCGCAGTTGTGCGGGAAGGGCCGGGCCGCGAGGCTGCAGGGCGCGTTGATCACGTGCGCCCCCTGAGGGCGGTCGAGCCCCGCCGCGAGTCGGCCGCGATCGCGCGGGAGTTCTTGCGCGCTGGTCTCGAGGCGGCGGGCGTCGACTTCGCCAATCGACATGCCGCGTCGCAGTTGACGCGCGGGTCAACCTCTACCTGCGAACCGACGAGGGGGTGGAGATGCTGCTCAAGGTGCTGCGCGATTCCAGGCAACCGTTGGAACTGGCGCGGCTTGGGCTGCCATATGGCGCAACTTTTGCGGGGGCGGCGCCGCGTCGGCTCACCCCCCGTCGCCGCTCCGGTTCGAGGGGCGCGTGCGCGGGGGGGGGGGGGCGCGGGGCGCGGGGGAGTTAGTTTTATTCCAGTGCCAGCCGAGGTAGCAGCGAGGCTGGGGCCCGCCAAACTCACTTACCGCAGCGCATTGAAGACCGCGCGCTGGCGTCGAAGCGAGGGGCCCCCGCGGGCCATCGAGCGCCCGAGTTCGCCGGGCTGCCGCAGCATATGGGGGCCGCAGACGCGCGCTGCCACGCCTGCGCGATCGGCGGCGGTCGCGCAGGGGAGCTGCGAATCCGGGCGACGTCGACCACGCTATGTAACCCGCGGCGCTCGGGGGGCCCCGCGCGGCGCCAGGGTGGTCAATGGCCAGCCGCGGGCGGCCGCGGAGGCGGAGCGCCCGGAGGTCTTCTGCAGGTTGCTCGCTAAAGAGGCCCGGGAGCAGAGGGGCCCTGCTTGGGCTGGAGCGGCCGCGCCATTCCAGCCGCGCGCAGAGGGGGGCGGGGGGGGGGGCTTCTTACAAGCGCCCCTGCTTCTTAGAAGGCGCGGGCCTTGCCTGTAGATGGAGCCGGCGCCTTCTAAGAAGCAGCCTCCTTCTTAGAAGCCCCCCCCCCCCCCCGCGCCCGCCCCCTTGCGCGCGCCGCCGACGCTTTTTTTGCGAGCGCGGCGGCGCGCGCCGAGCCCCCGCAGGGCCAGCGCTCAGAAGTTCGCGCTGGGCAGAAGCCTGGGGCGGGCAAGACTGCGCCGCCGGCGCCCGGATTCAAGAGGCTCGCGACCATCGCAATGCCGGCGCGCGTCCTGGAGGCGGCGCGCGGCCACGAAGGGCTGGATCAAAACGGGCCCCCGCATGGAGGGCGCCACCGCGCAGGCCCCGCGCGGGGCCCCCGGCGAGATTCACGGCGGACGAAGGGGGGCGGGGAGGTCGAGCAGGAGAAGGCGGAGGAGGGGGGGGCCGATGAGGGCGAGGAGGGGGAGCTGGCGGACATCGGCGCGAAGAAGAGGAGGCGCGAGGCGGAGTTTCGGCCGGGGCCGCAGGACAGCTGCCCAGCTGCAGCGAACATGGGGGGCGAGGAGGGCGGCCCCGAGGAGGGGGGGGGGGGGGCGCCGCCAGGGAACGCGGCGAAAGAAACGATAGGAGATCGGGCCGCAGCTAGGCGGCCAGGGTCTTGCGCGGGCCCCCCTGCCCCAGCCGCGCGGCCGACGCCCGGGGGGCCGCTGGGCGCGGCAGAGGCGGTTCGCGCGGGAGCTTGGGCCGAGGAGGGCGAGGACGTGACCTGCGGAGGCGCAGAGAAGAGGCAGAAAGATGGCATGGTCGCGGCGAGAATCCGCACCCCTCGGTCGGAGAAGGAGGAGTTCGCTGCCGAGGCCGCGAAGTTGGGGCGCCCGCTCGACGGGGGCAGCGGCATCCCCGACAGGCCCAAGTTGCACCGCCCAGCGGTGAAGAGTTTGGAGGAGGCGCTGCAGGGGCACAGGTGGGGCATGCCCCTTCGTCGGGGCCCTGCCGCGGCTCCCAGCAGACGCAGCCGTGGACGACGACAGAAGGTCTGATGAACAAGTGGGCGAGGGCAGAGCCGTCGGCCCACCGTCGGAGGAGGAGGTCGCGAAGGCACTGGGCCCCGCGTGGCTGCCCGCGCGACATGTAGTTTCGGCCCAGCAGAGCGGGGTCAGGCCGATCGCCGATTTCTCCGAAATTGGCCACAACTCGGCCTCGGAGATCCACGACGAGCAGGAGATTTCAGGCGTGGATGGCACCGTCAATTTGGCGAAGGAGGTCGCGAACGCCGCGAACAACAGTGACGGCGTCGAGGTCTACATGATTAACCTCGGGCACGCTCGCGGGGCAGGTCGCGCCCGCGCGTGGAACCAGTGGCGGGGGGGGGGCATCGCAGGCCGCGCGCTCGACCTCAAGGGGGCCCACAGACAGGTGCCCGCGTCGCCGCGCCAGGCCTGCCGACACGTCGCAGGCGTTCGGCGCCCCTTGCGGCGCGGCCCGGCCTACTGCCTGCAGCGCGTGCTCACATTCGGGCCCGGGGCGCCGTCTTCGCGCTCGGCCCCGCCCCCGAGGCCCTCGAGCAGATCCTCTCCGAGCTCTTCTGGCTGCTCCTCACGCTGAGTGTCGACGACTTCCCGCAGGCGTTGCTGCAGGCGCGCGCGGGCGAGGCCGCAGGAGAGGCGCTGCCCCTTCTCGGTTGGGGGGTCAAGCTCATCGACGGGGCCGTTCCCAGGTTCGCGCCGTCATTCTCGGCCTTGGGGGTGGTTTTCCAGCTGGGGGGCGCGCGCCGTCGCTGACAGGCTGGAGACGTTGCGAGGCAGGTCGAACCTCAGTGATGAGATTCTGAGGTCCCGCACGTGATCGTTCTGGCGGCGAGTCAGTCTTTGAGGGGGAAGCTCGGGCTCTCCAGATCACAATGCCGTGGCCGATGCGGGGCAGATGCGCTATTCGAGCTTTCTGCCATGGCGGGAGAGGGGATGGCATGCGTTGACGGCCCAAGAGGCCGAGGCGCTGTCTTCCTTGAGACCCCGTGAGGTGAGGCTGCGAGGCAACAGGAAGCCGGTGATCCTGTTTGCCGCCGGGGAAGAAGACGATCTCACGGTAGGGATCGGGGGGTGTTCATGGACGCAGAGGCCGACATTCGGGAGTTTGTTTTTCGGCGCGCGCGTCGCGCAGGAGGTGGTTGGGAGGCGGCAGAAGGAGGGCGGCCGTCGCCGCGTGATCTACTTGGCCGAGCGCCGGCGGAGCTCTCTTGCAGAATGCGGCGAGGCCGCCTCGCGGGGAGGAGAGTCGCCCCCTTCGTCGACAGTGATGCCGCTAAGGGGGCGCTGATCAAGGGTACTTCGGGCACCCTGGTCACGACCAGGCTGGCGCGCGAGCTCTGGGAGACGATCTCCAGCCGCGGCGAGCATGTCGAACTGCGGTGGCGGCCCTTCGAGGGAGCAAATGGCAGTCGTCCGGTGGCTGCGGTGCTGGGAGGTCGCGCGTGCGTGGCCCAGACCTGGCGTGTGAAAGAGGGGGTGAGGTCGAGGCCCGTGCACGCTGGAATTGAGAAGCGCGCCGTTGTTCCCCGTGCCGCTTGTCGGAAAAAGTGCAACGCCCAGGGGTTATATAGGCAGGGGCGCGCGGCCGTATGTCTTCATATAGCTCTATCTCGGAACCGCGGCCCCCTGCGGGCGTGGGGTGGGGCTTGGCGACCCACGCGGTGGTTGAGTTCCCGCCCGCCCGACCTTGTTGAAGATGGAAGGTGTGAGGTCGAGGCCCTTGCATGCTGGATCTGAGAAGCGTGCGACGAGGTCGAGGCCCGTGTACGCTGTTCCTAAGAAGCGTGCGATTGCCCCCAATGCCGCGTGTCGGAAAATGTGCAACGCCCAGGGATTATGTAGGCAGGGGCGCGCGGCGGTGGGATCTGTGCAATGCGAATCAACGCAGCGCAATGCAAAGTAATATAAGCAATGCAATGCAAAACAATGCGAGCACTGCGACGCAATACAATACAATGCTTATCACGTGGTAGTAATGCGCGGGCGGCGACGATGCGGCGACGGCGGCCGCATAGCCGCCAGACCGAAGCCACGGCCCAGACGACGGACAGCGACGAGGCGGCGACGGGGCGGCGATGGCGGCCTCAGAGCCGCCAGACCGAAAACACGGCCCAGATCCTTAGAACAGAGGTAAGAGGCCCTAAGCGCAAGCACTGTTTGGGGAAACTGGGCCCCAGGAGCTTCGATGCTATATGTTACTCTCCCTCCTCTTTCCTCCCTTTCTCCACTGTCCTATGTTTCGCTTGCGTTAGCAGTGCTCTGGCGCCAGCGTTCCCCTCCTGCCCTTTTATGGCCCCGCCCTTGTGCGAGCGGGGTGGCTGGACTTTAAATGAGCTCGGCGCGACTCCAAGAAGGGGAACGCTTCCTAGCTTGGCGTTGCTCGGCGTTGTTTTGACGTTGCGCTGCTTTGCTTGGCGTTGTTAGGCGTTGCTTGGCATTGCGTGGCATTGCTTTGCATTGCTTGGCGATACTTGGCATTGTTTGCCGCTGCTTGGTCTTACTTGGCGGAGCTTGGCTGTGCTTTGCCTTGCTTGGCGTCGCTTGGCGTTGCTTGGCGTTGCTGGCCCTTGTTGGGCATTGCCAGGCGTCGCTTGCTTTGCACTGTTCTGGTTGGTCCTGCTTGGCGCTGCTCGGCGCTGCCTGGCGTTGCATGGCGTTGCTTGGCGTTGCCTGGCGTTGCTTGGCGTTGCCTGGCGTTGCCTGGCGTTGCCTGGCGTTGCCTGGCGTTGCCTGGCGTTGCCTGGCGTTGCCTGGCGTTGCCTGGCGTTGCCTGGCGTTGCCTGGCGTTGCCTGGCGTTGCCTGGCGTTGCCTGGCGTTGCCTGGCGTTGCTTGGCGTTGCTGGGGATCAAAGCCCGGCAGGCGAAGCCGGCCAGCGCAGGCCTCGCACCCACCGGCTCGCACCCTTCCGGCCAGCCCACCGGGGAAGAGCAGGGAAGACATCCAGAACCCAAGGGCTCCCACGAGGGCGCGAAGTTGTTCGCGCTTCGCGGCCCTCGTTCCTTCTCCCCCTCCTCCTCGTCCTCCTTTTCTCCCTTTGGGGGGGCGGCGCGAGAGCGCGAAGTTATTCGCGCTTCGCGGAGCGCGAAGCGCGCGAAGTTTGGAGCCTTAGGAACCATTCGAACACGCATGGGTCGTTGAAAATAGATCTTTTCGGCTTCCCAGAAGCCAATCTACTTCAAGCGCCTTCCTACTTCGATACTCGATGTGGTTCGGCTGTCGTTTGCTATGATTTCGACGGGCCCGAACCCGATCTACTTTATCCGCCTTCCTACATCACATTTCTACCTATACTTCTTCCGACCGGCGTGTGGTCACCAGATCAGAAATCATCAGTGCCGCCTTCCGCGGGCGCCCTCCGGCCCCGTCTCCTCTCCTTGCGGCCGGACAGTGGGCGCGTGTCCCCCCCCCCCCCGCCGCCTTCTGCGGGCACCCTCCGGCCCCGTCTCCTCTCCTGGCGGCCGGGCGGTGGGCGCGTGTCCGAGCCCGGCCTCTCCCGGAGCGCGCGTGCGGGTCGCCTCCGCCGCGCTGCGACGTGAAGCACATGTCTCTCCGCCCCCCGCCCGTCTCTCGGGAGGGAAAAAACACACACACACACACAGACACACAGACACACACAGACACACAGACACACAGACACACAGACACACAGACACACAGACACACAGACACACAGACACACAGACACACAGACACAGACACAGACACACACACAGACACACACACACAGACACAATGAACCGTCGATACCCCCGAAAATGAGGGGAAATATGGGAAGTGGGTAAGATCTGGGAAGATGTAGGGGATCCTTTTCTTTGTGTGTGTTCACTTGTGTGTCCCAGGGCCCCCTCCGTCTCGCCTGCTTGGCAGTGCGCATGCTCCGAAGCCTTCGGCCCGCGTGACTCCACCCCGCCCGGGGCGCCCCGCGGGCGGGGGGGGGGGTTCTCTCTCAGGACGTGTGCCCTCCCGACGCGGAGCTGACCGCCGCAGTGACGCGGGAGCTGGAGGAGGAGCTCTTCCGATTGGGGGGGGGGACCTTCCTTGGCATCGCTCGGACGTGTGCATTTTCTCTCGGCGAGGACCATCGAGGACCGTCCTGGACCATCGAGCAACAAAAAAAACACACACGCACGAAACCGAACAATGCACGGGAAGTGGACGTCCGACGTCCGAGCGACGGCAAGCTTTTGACCCCCACCTTCCTCATTCCCGTCTTCTTTTGCCCCCCTCTGCCTTCTCCTCTTCCTCCTGCTCCTGCGCCCTTGCATTATCCTGGTCCATTCGGATCGGGTCCGAGCGGATGGGGTCGGAGGATCGCGCCGCATCTCCGACGCATCGGCGATGCGACTCGATTTGGAGGCCAGACTTCTCCACGCCGACTGCGCGGATGCATCGCCGACGCCGCCGATGCATCGGCGATGCGGCGCAATGGCCGCAATGGTTCGACCCCCTTCGCTAGGATCCCATCAGTGGGGGCCAGGAGGAGGATGAGGAGGAGGAGGAGGAGGAGGAGGAGGAGGAGGAGGGGGAGGGGGAGGGGGAGGGGGAGGAGGATTTTGTAGAGCAAGGCGCGAGCAGTCGTTTGTGGGTTCAGGCGGCCCCAGCACTGGTTATGGCTGCGCCTCTTGGCGGTCGCACAACCAGACCTCGGGGCAATCTGCTGAGATAACGCCGTCCTGTCCTGGTCGCAAGGACGGTACTGGTTCAGGCGCTTCCCCCCGGCCTGGAATTTGTGGGGGCCCAGACCTCCTGACACTCCACACGCCAGAACATGTTCCCGCCCAGCCCCCCCTCCCCACGTCGAACCACCTCAGATAGTGCGCCAGTAGAGGGAAACAATCAGTGAACACCCCCCCTGCCCCCCACAACTCACAGTTGGCACGCGCGGGGGAGACTGCGGTCGAGGTGCAACTCATGAGACCCACCGCCGACCTTGAACATTGGGGGGCGGGGTCACAGATGAATGTGGCACGAGTGTTCGCTATTTCTTGTCCGAGGCCTGGCAGGGTGCGCGACCGCCCCACGCCTTGGGGGCCACTGCAACCCTGGCAGGGGCGGAGGGTGCTGGGCGGCACGGCGGCTCCAGCCAGTTGCCTCTGCGGTGGAGGCCTATGCCAAGGAACACCCTGCTTGCCTCCAGGGTTCCCTGCGTTTCTCGGGTTCCGATAGTTTTGCGATGGAAATCGTGACGTTCCCACGCGAAAAGTCACTGGACGTCCTGGGGTCTCGGGGTTGGGTTTCTTGTGGAAGGTTTCTTGTGGACTGGCCTCCACTGTAATCTCTTACCTCGCGAGACGGGCTCCAAGCTGCGCTCTAGGCAGTTCCATCTCCGAGGGTGGATGGTGGATGGTGTGGGCGGAATCAGCACGGGCAACAGCAAGGTCAAAGCGGGGCATCCTGCCTCGCTTCGTCTGAGCTGAGCCTTCGGCTCGGGCGAAGAGAATTATGCACATGCACCGATCCTGGCAAGGCCCATCCTTGACCCAGGATCGGTGCATATACCTTCCTGGCCAAGGTATGAGGGCGTATGCACGGATCCTGGGCTCAGGATGGGCCTGGCCAGAATCTGTGTATGTGCATAGTTCTCTTTCCTCCATCGGCGCGGGCCGAGGGGGGGAGAGAGGTGGTGATGGCCAACACTGCACTTCTCTGACAGCATTGCCCCCCTCCCCGAGCTCTGAATGGGCCAGGGCCCCCGCATCTGGGACAGGAGGAGGAGGAGGAGGAGGAGGAGGAGGAGGAGGAGGAGGGCCCCCGCACCTGGGACATGGGCGGGGGCCGAGAAGGGATCGGCCGGCCGACCCGCGGCCTCTCGTTGACCACCCCCACATCAAGACTCTCTCGCCTGGCCGGCCCCTCCTCCGCCAGGTGGCCGGCAGCTCTGCGGACCCGAGCGTCGCGCTCACCAGGGGTGCTCTTCGCGGAAAGGTAGGAGACGGTTTCGCCAGAGACCAGCCAACGCTCTGGCGGGGTGCGGCTAACAGCCGCGAAAAGATGGGAAAGGGTTCCGCCTGGACTCGCCGATGCACCAGTAGGGGGTGTGGGGGGGGGCAACCAGCTGCGGGAGGGCGGGGCGGTGCCGCCTGAGACCTGCCGAAGCGCAGCTGGGGTGCGGCTAACAGCCAGGGGTCTCTGTGAGATTGTGGTTGGCCAGCGTCCTCGAGGTGAGCTTTAAGAACTTCTGACCACACACCAGGAGTCGGT